GAGCAGAGACGGGAACACAGCATCATGTTTAATGAATTTTATTGTAAGAGAAAGAACATTGTATTTTGTAATAACTACAAATGGGTTCACCATCAACCTTCTTCCACAGTCCACAAGTCTGAATGTACAGTACACAGGAAAGGACAAGAGCAAGCTGGGCAGGACAGTTTTGGCTAAATTTTGGCAGAGCTTCTTATAATGCAATGTTGTTTAATACTAATAGTGTTCATTTCCACTTTAACTGTACCAAACGGAGAGCTTGCAACAGAGAGTTTGAACAGGAAAGAATTCAGAATAAGAGGACACATGATATTCTCTAACTGTTGCAACAAAGACACATTTTGTTGTTAAACAAACTCCAAAAGTAAGTAAAAACAGCGCTCATACATGCCGTCCAAAGCAGCCTAAGGCTAAAAAGCATCAAGTTCTCCAGAAGAAGCATGTAGCTGTGTATAATTCATGGTCACAAATGAGAACTATTGTAATAGCTAATCTAAATCATGACCTAGGATGTGGGAAGGATAGATTCTCAAAAGCCACTTGCTCACAAGTTCAGGCTCACGCACTAGCATTAATATACACTCTGTAGCTACATGTGCATTATCACCACTATGTCAGACATCACCCCTCACCTATCAATCACCAGCTACGGAACCCATTGGGCACAGTGTTTGGAATTCGCTAACATGGTCTAGCGCATCTCATGGACAATTAAGGAAGAATGCACCATTACTACTTAGAGCTTGCCATCCCCTATGGGAATTGCTCAGATCCAACCCCTTCCCACAGCCTGTATCTCAGGCCTCCTAAATCTTGCTGTCAGCATCTCTGAATATATATTGTTTTTTAAAAACCTAGGGAATAAAGTTCCCAATGCATTATTACCATTCTGCATGCAGGTCAGCTCTAAGGAAGAATCTTTTGTTTGTTTGCTGATGTTGGGTTGTGTGTTGTTGTTTTGCTATTTTTGCAAAGAGCTAAAAATTAGTATCCAGTATCAAAGTGGGCCTGTGACTACTATGCACTGCCCAGGGTCCTTGCCATCTGAGGCCAGCATTTAGATGCAACCATGAATTTAAGAATCTTACATATCAGATGTGATCCTTAGTGGAGGATTTATTGAAGGCTACAGGGAGGGGTGAGAGGGAGAACTATGGGAAGATTCAGGTGCCACCTTTATTGTAGCATGTGAGCTGATAAACAAGGTGACTGTGGTACTGTGACTTTGAACCCCCTTTTTAATTGTGGATGTGATCCAGAATTAAAAGGAACACAAGATGGGACTGGGGGAGGGGACACAGTTTCAACTGTCATCCTCCTGTATTTTAGTCTTTTCAATCAACGATTTAGGATATTCAAAGCTTGCTTTGCTGTTGTACTTTTGTAAACTTCTTCCAGAACATTACTCAGAAGCATGGCAAATTACACAGGCTAACCAAGCGGGGACATATATAACATGAGACAACACAATTAAGTCTTTACTCTGAAAAGCAAGGGCTCGTTTTATGTCTCCCTAGTGTAATCTTTATCGAAAGGGGCACGATGTGGTAAGGTTCTGACTTAATCAATGCACCATGATAAACGGCACTTTTCTCTCAGGTTTGCCAGCAAAAGCCCCATGAGAAGGGTGGTACAAAATCACTTTGCTGAGCTGCCAACTGAGAAAGTGATGTTGGAACTTCTTGCAATAGGGCCACAGAAAAGCAATGACAGCGTGAGTCTCAAAGGAGGATGAAGGGGCACCCTCTATGCCTTTGCGACATCCCTCCCATAGCTCATTAGCTAATGCAAAGAAAAGGGGTGCATTGATAAAATGTCAGATCTCATTAGAGACAAGATGCCTGAGCAATGGGCAGTGACAAGGCAGTGTAAGGAGATGTTTATTGCTCTGGCTCAAGATTTTACTGTGATATTTGTATCTTTTATTATAGTTTTTAACGTTCGTAATTTCAAGCTTTTTAAATAAGTTAAACCCACTGATTATTAGAAGAAGAGTAAGGCAGAGAATGAAGCTTTAGAGTTAAATTGTTAGAAAAATACGTATTTTAATATACTGCATTGTGCTTGACTTTTTTTTTTTTTAAATCAATACGGTTAAAAAAGATTCTTCTTGTTCCCAAGTATTGTAGCTATATAAAACTGTGCTAACGAATAGTTTAGAATTATCTACTGTGTCAAGTCTTATTATTCAGGACTAGAATTTATAAATCAGGGTTAAATGTAAGAGTAATTAGATTGAGATTTCTGTAGAAATCTGCCTTGAGTAATTGTTCATGTACTTTCAGTGCCACAAATCTATACACAAGGGAGGTTTTAACTTGGCCCCTTATTGGCCATCTTTGTGCTCAGTCTGGTGACACCCAGTACATAATGGCACAGAATTATAAGCAATTAATCAAATATCTGGAAAACAAAAAGTCAGATGTGCAATCAGTTATCTTGTGCTTTTCCCATCCCATACATCATTTATATAAAGAAGAGAACAGATACTTAAAGGGTATTATTAATGTGACAATGTTTTCCACACACCAAATGCTTTCTGCAAACGTACTGATCACACCACTGAAGACAAAAGCTTTCTAAATAGTTGCTGGGGTTTACAGCATTGTTTTTCACTGAGCATTGATTCATTTAGAGCAGGGGTGGGCAAACTACGGCCCACGGGCCAGATCATTTTAAGCCGGCCCGTGAGCCACACCATGTGGCTTGGCCCCGCTCCGACGCTCCAGCCGGGGTGCTGGGGCCGCACCATGCGGCTCCCGGAAGCCACAACATGGCCCCGCTCCGGCTCCTATGCACTCCAGTGGAAGCTGCAAGGGCAGTGCCTGTGGATAGGGCAGCGTGCAGAGCTGCCTGGCCGCGCCTCCATGTAGGAGCTGGAGAAGGGACATGCCACTGCAGCCAGGAGCCTGCACCCCTGAGCCTCTCCCCACGCCCCAACCCCCTGCCCCAGCCCTGATTCCCCCTCCCGCTCTTCAAATCCCTCGATCCCAGCCCCAAGCACCCTCCTGCACTCCAAACCTCTTATCCCCAGCCTCACCCCAGAACCTGCACCCCTTCCTGTGCCCCAGCCCTGATCCCCCTCCCGCCCTCCAAAACCCTTGGTCCCAGCCCAGAGCACCCTCCTACAACTCAATTTCCTCGTACCCAGCCCCACCCCAGAGCCTGCACCCCCTCCTGCAACCCAACCCCAATTTTACGAGCATTCATGGCCCACCATACGATTTCTATTCCCCGGTGGGGCCCTCGGGCCAAAACGTTTGCCCATCCCTGATTTAGAGCCATGTGTGATAGGCCTACATTAAAATAAAACAAAAACTAAACTGTCTGAACTAAGCTGTGAGACGCTCACTGCACAGTCCAGAACCCATCCATCAAACAAACAGCTTCTCACTTGGAATTTATTGTCTTATTCCAAATACCTAATATAAAACTACGATAATGGATGGAGCCTCTTTAATATCTGGCCCATACTACTCAACCTTTGAGGCTAAAACTCAGGGTGAAATCCTGGCCCTACTGAAGTCAATGGCAAAATTACCACGGTCTTCAATAGGGTCAGGATTATACCCTCAATCATTTTCTTTAGTTTAATAACGGTTACCTTTTTAAAATTTGGCCAAACACATAGCAAATGAAAACAGAGCTTGAGCCTCCAGGTCAGTGTAATGTAACCACTCCTAAAACAAACATCTGTCTGTGATGTAAACCCCTTAGGAAATCCAGATTCTGAGTCCATTAAAGAGATGAGGTAGTTTAGGCCCCAAATATAGGCTATTTTTTGAGGGGACAACTGTTGAAGAAAACCCATTTTTAAAATAATTATTGTGAAACTTTTAATAAAAAAGAGTGCATCGGGGTGTGTTTTGTTTCTGTACTTTAAATTATACATCCCTCTGGGCTTTTGTGAACAGAACTACCCCCACTACCATGAAAATAGGAAAGTAAAATTGACTAGAAACAGACTAGTCTCATTTCACTGCCCTGAGTGAAATTCCAAAAGTAAACAAATGTAAACAGCCAAATGGAAGAAAGAAAATTATAGCCAGGATCTTCTAAAAGCAGCTGCTGATTTTGGGTGTCCAACGTGAGCTGCTTTAAAGGGGCCTGATTATCAGAGGAGAGGTGTCAGCACTTCCTGAAAATCAGAGCTCTTTAAAGTGTCTCAAATTGGGCACCCAAAATCACTCGTCACTTTTCAAAGTCTTGTCCTAGATTTTTGGAAATCTGTTTTTGTAACCTATGGTGTTCTTTGTAATGCAAACAAAGGGATATTTAAAAACATATATATTTTCAACCTAACTTTACAACATTATTATTTTAACAAGTAGCTTGTGACATGTTCAGCAGTTTCATGCCATGTAAATGGGAGATATAATTGTAGTGGACAGGGCATTTCTTCAGTTTCAGATACAAAACTCAAGCTGTAGTTGTTTAGCCATTAGTACTTCATGTCATAAAACCTGGGGCTTCTGCTATTCTTGCACTGTGAATGGCAGGATTTTTACTTCTCAAATAAGCATGATTGTGGTAACTCTTCTTCAGGGAAAGCTTTAGGGTCTGAATTCTGACCATATGAGAAAAAGAAGAGAGAGAGAATCTGTACTTATATATGGGGTGGAGGTGACAGAGTTTTTTTATTGGTTTATTTTGTTTGTGGTTGCTAAATATTTTTCACAGTGATACTGTCTTAAAATGCTTGAAAAATAATTAAGGATGAGAATAGCAGTAGATGTATTTACTGTTGATGACAGGGAGCACGATTTTAATTATGGATCATTCAGATGAAACTTAATTTACCCAATGTATTGCTGTTTCTTAGGTTTGTATAAGGTACCTATCACCATAGCACATGAGTGCTGAACTTAGTGTGTCACATAAATCTGCAAACACTGTACCTGTTGTATTTGGTAAGGGTCAGTTATTCTCCTTGCTATGGTTCCGTTGCTGTATAAACACAGCTACAGCCCGTAAGCAGGAATAGAAAGCATTGTGCTCTGTACACATGGTGGTCTAGTTCTTAGTGGGCAGAAAATGTAAGATTGGTGGGGTGTATAATTCCTTCGTGTATTGAGAGCAGGACAGATCTCATTAGACACAAAACAGTCTTTAGGAAACCAAATTAATATAGAACAACTATGCCATTTAACATGGAGTAATTGAAATAGTAAGACAACATTTTTATATTAAAATGCATTAGTACTATAAGTGCAACGACTCATATTAGTAACATTCAGCAGCAAAATCCCATTCTACATCATCTCATGGTTAATAATTAATAAATCAGCAGGATATGCTTGAATAGGATTCCAACCCACGCCAAAAACTTCCCCATTTAAACTCCCATTCAGCAAAGCAGTTAGGCATATGCTTAATTAGATCATTTCCTTAAATGTTTTGCTGAATTGGGGACTATTAAACCTGAAACAGCATGTGTGGGTAAACATCAGCATCTCATCCATTTTAACAGATGTTTGAACTTCTCTCCTCTTCTGTACAGTGATGTCTGAATTATTAAATGAGTTATAAGCAAAAGTTATAATGCAGCCATAAGTAACGGCGCCTAGTTCTGGAAGCTGCGTAGGGATGTATAATAATCTGTTTTCATAAGAGGCTCTTTGACCCGGGGGAACCATAGCTTGCATTCTCAATGGGGCAGTGAAACACACCGCACACGCATCACTGCAGAGTACAGCATTCCTGTTATTTTATATCCGCACATCTGCTGCCTATTTCTAAATACCCAAATAATGGCTGCTGTGTGCAGTGTATTGGCTTTTCTTGCAGTGATGCTTGTTGCAAGGCTTGCTGTCATGCACAATTCAAATAACTGAACATGTAAACAGGGGGAAGGGATGTTGCTAATTATTCTTTCAGACTGTTTGGAATCTGGTGGTTTCTAATCTCATTTCAAATACCAAACTTTTGAGTTGCTTCAAATTGGCTTATACCATAAATAATCATTAGTCATCAAACGACTAAAACATTTGCTTGCTCCATATTCTTCATGGATGTTGACACTAGTAGACCATATTTCTGTCTCTGAGACAAAGAAAGCCTGATTTTGAATTCTATATTCAGGTATCTTTCTCACTGACTTCAGTAGGAGTTTCACTAGTGTAAGGAGCATTGTCTTAAGAATACGGATGCACAAAAGTGCAGAATGCATTATAATCCAATTCTGGAGCCTTAAAATCCAAGGCAAAGAGGAGTCTTTCTTCCTCACTTTCGCATGTGCAAAGTTACAACAGACTGAATTCCACTAACACCAGGCATCCTTGTGGTACCCCACAACAGTTAAAAGTCACGTCAGCGAAACAGCTGGAGTGTATCCTTGTGCAAGCCATTTGTTCTCAGAGTCTGCGTTTTCCCATGCTAGATCTCAGCATTAATATACCTTCCACAGAAGCTCCGGGACGGTCCATCATCGTTTGCCAGAGGTGCTGCTCTTCCCCGTGAGAATCCATCCAATCAACTTCCTTCCCATTACTTATACCTGGCAATTGAAAAAACATGGAGAGTTTTGGCATGCTAGTGAGATGTGGCTCCTTATCTGTTTCAAGAAGGTATATGCAGTGTTGTTGTAGCCCTGTCAGTCCCAGGATATTGGAGAGACAAGGTGAGTGAGGTAATATCTTTTATTGAACCAACTTCTGTGGGTGAGCGAGACACGCTTTCGAGCTTACACAGAGCCCTTCTTCAGATCTGGGAACGGTACTAAGAGTGTCACAGCTAAACAGAAAATTGAACAGATAGTTTAGCATAAGTAGTTAGCTATGACACTCTTAGTACCTTTCCCAGATCTGAAGAAGGGCTCTGTGTAGCTTCAAAGCTTGTCTCGCTCACCCACAGAAGTTGGTCCAATAAAAGACATTACCTCACCCGCCTTCTCTCACAAGAGGGTACAGAAAGACAGCCTTCTCCTTCATTCACTGCTGTGTGCAAGGCAGTACTAGCAGGCATGTGCCTTACAAAAATTATGGATTTTTCCGGGGAGGAGGGTTTACATTTATCTATTGAGGGAAAAAAACCTGGCAGATCATAAAAGGAAAATAAAGAACAAAGAAACCAAAAGTATTTCATAAGTAAACGAACAAAGATTTTTAGAAATATCTCAAAAATAATCATGCAATAGAAAATGTAAAAGGTGATTTGTCAGCCTGGGTTTGGCTGGGGTTTTTTCTGGTCTTGTAAATCCAGCACCTCCCCATTGTGATTTTAAAAAAATTTTTTTACAAGTTTAAAAAACAAATAAATAATGTATATATCCTGAAAGACGTTGGATTTTTATCAATTAGCTGGAGACTAAAGTTCTCTTGGTAGCCACAAAATAGGTACACCATGGGCCTAACATGGCTCTATCCCACAACCATTGGCTTCCTAGCTGAGGAGGAATGGACGACTCTTTCTTCATAGCTGCCCCTTCATCAGCCAGAAGCATTGCTGCTGAGTAACATGAAACTCATTTCTCACTCAGATGGTAAGAAGTGTGTCCATAATTCTCTCAGTCCCAGTTGGCTTTGGAAGCCTAGTTACAGGAGGGTAACAAACTCATGTCTCTCACTGGATAGCATAAAGAAATAAGTTGCCTCTAGGCTACTAAGCCACTCTTTTTTCATTTCTCATAGTTCCTCTGTGCCCCATATTCACAACATTTCCATCCTTTACATGGCTATGAGACATGTGCTGAACAAAGTGATGATTCCCAGTCAAACAGAGCTCTTACCGCTTCCAGTGCTCAAACGGACACCTCCCAAAAAGATGTTACTGGAGAGTGACTCCTTGTCCCAGACTGTCAGTTCTAGGCAGACATTGTGTAGATCTGTAGGATTCAAGCTGCTGAAAGTGAAGCTGTGATTCCAGTGAGGGTTCACACTCTTCTTTATGACAGGAGTTTTATGTTTTGTTGCTTTGTTATTATCTGGGAGCAGATATCTGAGGGAGACAAACAGAAAGAAAGAGAAGAAGAAAAAACAGGTAGATGGGACTTCAGGTCAGTCATATTTATCATTTGTATTACAAAAAGAAAAGGAGTACTTGTGGCACCTTAGAGACTAACAAATTTATCTGAGCGTAAGCTTTTGTGAGCTACAGCTCACTTCTTCGGATGCATTCAGTGGAAAATACAGTGGGGAGATTTATATACATAGAGAACATGAAACAATGGGTGTTACCATATACACTGTAACGACAGTGATCACTTAAGGTGAGCTATTACCAGCAGGAGAGCGGGGGCGAAAAAACCTTTTGTAGAGATAATCAAGGTGGGCCATTTCCAGCAGTTGACAAGAACATCTGAGGAACAGTGCTGGGGAATAAACGTGGGGAAATAGTTTTACTTTGTGTAATGACCCATCCACTCCCAGTCTCTATTCAAGCCTAAGTTAATCGTATCCAGTTTGCAAATTAATTCCAATTCAACAATCTCTCGTTGGAGTCTGTTTTTGAGGGTTTTTTTTTTTTTGAAGAATTGCAACTTTTAGGTCTGTAATCGAGTGTATTACAGTATCACCTAGAAGTCAGCCAAAATCAGGGCCCCATTGTGCTGAGTTCAGTACAAACATATAGTGAGAACTGTCCATTCCCTGATGACCTTTCCTTCTAAATAGACGAAACAGAGAAAGGATGGGAGAAAGGAAGCAGTATTATCTCCATTTTACAGATGGAAAACCAAGGCAGAGAGAGATCACCCCAATCAGCAAAGCATTTAAGCACATGTTGAAATCCCATTGAAGTCAAGTTAAGCATATGCCGAAGTGCTGTGTTGAATTGGGACCCAAGTGACTTGTCCAGGTTGTCTGGGTCAGAGACAGGAATTGAATCCAGCTCTCCTCTGCCCCAGGTTAAGGCACTGCTTTTAACCACAAAACTCTCAATTTCAGTGGGATTCCTCATGGAGAACAATGCTTCTCCATGTGAGTAAGAGTTTCAGATTCATGGTGAGAAGCAACACTATTCCATGATGATACACACATCTAACCTAACTTGGGCAAAAATAAGTGGTTGGTAGAGAAGGAACAGTAGCAGATTGTCCCCTTGAATGGAAATAAGCTTATGTTTACATTTATACCAGAGGCCTGATTCCTGGAAAAAACACAGAGCCCCTGATGCTATGAAATCTGACAATTTTTTCAACTCCATAAGCCTTATATTTTTACCAGAGTACTCTTTTCTTGAAACTTTGTAAACACAATATATAATTTTCAAAGTCGAGTAGTGGACAAACCTCCCTAGTCTGTACCTACCCTTCCCCCAGTACAGTTTATGGGTTCATCTCAGCTATAGAAAATATATTTTTAAAAACCTTGTAACCTGATGGAAAATTGTTTGTCCAAAGGAAATTGGTTCAATCTCCACTTACATAAAACAACCCATGCCAGCAACAACAGATGTGTGTGATGAGCTAGCCAGAGACAGTCCACAGTGTCAGCAACAGCAATGTGCTGCCAATTCGTCAACAAGGGGCTCCAACAACAAAAATTCCCCTTAGCCTGGTGTAAACTCCATGTCTCAAGTGTGTACGAGCTGCGGAGAGGAGAGTGAGGGACCAGACAATCTGTTTCTTTGTTTTCCTGTTTAAACAAAAACGCTTTTCTCATAGTCATAGCCAACCATAGAGAAAACAGCACTGAGCAAACCAACATAAAATAAGCCTATGGATTGCTCTTTGTGCCTAAAAAAATGTACTCAGTACACTGATCGTAGGGCACTTGGATCGTGTGAATAGGAGGTGCAGGGTGAAAACCTTACAATGAATTTTGGGTATATCTGCCCCAGGAAAACTTGCAAAAATACATTTGTCACTTGAGACAATTTGAGCTACAGCAAAAGCAAAATATTTTTCCTTCAGAAATATTTTTTATAACCTCAGGAACAATTGACCACTCTGAGAGGAATGGTTTAGCTGGTCCGGAGAGGAGGTGAATCCATATGGGGCATCAGGTTAGTGGTGAAACTTTGTCAAGGGGTTCACTTCAACAAAAACATGCAGACTGTAACCAACACACAACTATATGTAAAACAAGCAACTATGAAAGCTTTTATTGACAGGGAAAATGGCAAGGAGAAGCACTCTTGTCAGCTGTCCATATTTCACTCATTTAACACCTTGAGTGCCATGCTCACATTTATGATGACTCTAGTATAATCAGTCACCTAGGATTATATTTATTTATACAAACGTAAGTGTGTTCCTATAGCAAATATTTTCTGCTTATTCAGGGATATTAACTAAAAGATAAATAATATAATGAGGCATATGTACACAGCAAAAACCTGACACATTATATATATGAAATCATATTGTATTACAGAAATGTATATATAGTATGTATACATATATCACATGCTCATCTTTTTAAAAAAAAAAAAAAAGTTTTACCCTTAATGTCAAATTTCAAAGCCACATTTTGAAGTCTACGAAGTAAAATTAAAGCTCTTATTTAAAATCACATATTATGACCTAAATTTAAATATAGTGGACAAAGAAGTTAAACTCCATTTTGAGGTGCAAGTTCTTTTTCAGGAGTAAAGTTGAGTAGCTATCAGACAAAAATGATATTGATCAGATAAACTAGGATTCAATGCAAAAGCTAGTTTTACTCTTGGCATGCTATGCAAAACATGGGAAAGTAAAAATTACCCTTTAACAAATGTGTCAGAAGTGCCTCCTGACTTCACAGCTGTTAAATTCTTGGCTTCCTTGATGAGGACCTCCAACATACCCCCAGAAGGTAGCTGTGTGTTTCCTTTCTTTCCTTTTTTTAAACTCTTCTTTCCTGTACATAAGACAAACCAACAACAAAATCAAGAACTTAATACTGCAAAACCAGTTTGGAAATGTAAGCCTTTTTGGACAGACTCTGCCACTTGTTTACTTCAACAGGACCATCCGTGGAGTGAAGCACTGCTTGCGTTTACAATCTGGTCCTTTATCTGTAAACATGGTCGGGCAAAAGGAGGAGATCACCCCACACCCGGTAAAAAAAAATTGACTCAGATGTGGTCAATCCTTGACAGACATTACAGGGCTGGGTTGTCCTAAGTCTCCAAGTACAAATATGGAAGTACTAATACATTGAAGGGAAAAGGTCAAGTTTTCTTTAAATCCTCTCCTCTTCTCTGCTATTACAGATGGCAAATAATACATTCTGAGTTGTGGTGGCAAAGAAGAGCTCTTATCAGACAGCCTCCCCCCATAGGCAGAATCTGAAACATCTCTCTCAAAGCCTGATATACAGACATATATGGTACAAGTTCACTCCAGAAGAGATACCTTTGCTGCATGGAGTTTTTTTAATGATTTAGTTAAGATCTAGATTAATGAATATAAAAATTGCTCAGATCCACGTGCTGGGAAGGTCATTCGTTCACAACTCTGTTGTCACTGTGCTTTCTGAGTAAGATTAATACTTAAGAATTCAAGAAATCTGGGGCATACAAATTATAATATGCAGCAACTGGTTTCCTCAGACCAAAGACTACCAGATTATAGCAGAGGACCTTGGAATTTACTACTAATAAACTGAATGTAATTCATCTGAGAAAAGAGCCTATGCTACCAATGCTTGCAAAGTAGTATTGTCTCTTTTGGCAATAAATTTCTATTGTTCTCAAATCTCTCTGCCTATGGTCTGTATGTATATTGTGTGTCCAAGGACAGAATTACTATCTGGTCATTGCTACCTCTTTGGACCATCACTTCTCTGGACACTACTGCAGTACATGTAGTAACTAATAATATTTTCCTCCACAGAAACACTGCCCATTTCAGAGGACTATAATGGACCACCCTAGACAATTCTAATAGGATCCTCAGGGATATAATTACAGTAGGAATAATGGGATGAAACTGAGCAAAGGAAATTGTAGACTAAATCATGTAAAAAGGTTCTGAACAGTGAGGTATGTATCAGTAAGGATGATCTCCTGAGAGGAACTGTGCTAGCTGATCATCCATGTACTGTTTAAAACCAGACTGCACAACAAACACAACAACTCAGGATTAGAGTATTGCTTTGGATAATAACTGTCCTAAACCATGGCTATTGACCAGCTGGGTCTTTTTAATGATGTCACAGCTATGCAACAACTCCTAATGGTGCATAAATGGCATCTCATTACTAGGGGCAGGGGAGCATCATCCTTCCTTTGAAAATTCCCTCAGATATAGGTGCCTAATTTATTTCCACAGAACTTCAACCTTCTGCAACTCTGTTACTTCATAACTCAGCTTTCATCATACAGGTTATTTCCAGTACTTAGAGGATGCTGCCATCAATGTTCATTTTACCTTGAAACTGTCCGAGGGGAAGCATTAGGTTTTTCTCAGGGGGAATGTAGTGTAAAACAACTATCAGCTCTCCTTTATACTGAAGCCCGATATCTGCTGCAACCTCCAGCTGATGGAGAGGAAAGAAAAACAGAAATCCAACTAAGCTTAATAATTCACCCATTCATTTTCAATTTTTTTCATTGTACATGTAAGCCATGATATATGCTTAAATAGGTCATGCCACTGCACAGTGCTCAGAGCTAATTAGCCCTCAGTGATTGAATATAGACAGCCACATTTTTGAAAATGTAATAGTCTAGGAAGTGCAAAAAGCTCAGAAGAACAGACATCACATGCCCTGCACTAAATGCTGTTCGGTAAACATAAACGGGAGAGAGAAATTCGGTTTGTTAGAATGAAGAAAAATTCCAACCCATGTCACGCACTGATTTACAGCAAACAAACAGGTCCGAGTAAGCTGGATATATAAACTGTAGCTAATTTAGGGCCAGATTCTAATACCCTTATTCATGTTGATTAGCACCTTACTCCATAACTAGCCCCATTGATTTCAATAGGATTATTGTTGGAATTAGACGGCATAATCTGTCCCTGAAACAGAACAGAGATTTATGGATACAAATATTATTTCCCAAATGTCTTATCCTCTTCTTCCCAAACATCATTTCTCAACGTTCTGCACCTCTTTTTCCCCATTAAATTTCTAAAAGCAGTCCAGAAGAAGCGTGCTCTATGCTTTTTTATAACATTAATCAAAAGCAATATTAGACTTATGTATTTTTTAATTTAAATAAAAAAATGGATTATAAACTCATTTTTAAAAACTAGCTGCTTTTGTAGGCCTCCCCTACCCATAAAATAAACCAATCATATATCAGTAAACAGTGATTTCTCCTAGAGAAATGGAATACAATAGAGAAATTGTTCATGAAATTTCATTAAATTCCCAATCCTGTGGAACATTTAAGCATGTACCTAACTTTGCTCACACCGGTAGCCCCATTGATGTCAATGGGACAACGCATACAATCAGAGTTTATGAATGTGCTTCACAAACTTGGAGCTTAAAGGTGTGTTGGATCCAGATACCTAGATCTGCGGGGCTTAATCTGCACCAAGGGAGATTGAGGTTAGATATTAAGAGAAGCTTTCTAACTATAAGGAGGGAGAACTCTGAAATAGGCTTCTAAGGGAGGTTGTGGAACCCTCATCACTGGAGGTTTTTAAGAACAGGTTGGACAGACAAGTACAAGGTATGGTCTAGGATTATTTGGTCCTGCCTCAGTATAGGGAACTGGACTTTCTGACCTTTCAAGATCCCTTTCAGCCCTACAATTCTATGCCTATGATACATGAAGTGCTGCCCAGTATGACAACACTGAGTATCTGGGCAATACGCTATGCCTGGAATTACATTCTGAACACTGCATCAAGATACTGCACTGCTTATGAAATAACTGTGCTGGTGAGAGCTTACATCCGAAACTTGTTCAGCTTGCCTCCTCATCCCAACTACTAGGTAAAGAATTTTACTTTCAGGAAAAGAAATAACCTCAGAAATATGTAAGGTGACATACAAAAGCTCAGCCTGCCTTTAAAGTTAGGCTGCAGGTTAAGACACTATCACCTGATTAATAAAAATTTTAGGGCTAGATCCTGCCATGTGCTCATACACAGGGAGCGGATTCAGAGGAAGGTGCAACAAACCCTATACTGGACAATTGCAGAACAACCTGCCCATAGGGGAAAATTTCATTTTAATAATCCCTGTCTGCCAGGAAGCTTTATTATGCCCTGAAGCATGTGAGTTTAGTTTCACAACTTCCCTGTGAAGATGGTAAGAATAATTTTCCCCATTTCACAGATGGGGGAAATGAAGCACAGAAGTTAAGGCCCTAATTTTTAGAACTGACTTGCTCAAATTACCGAGGAATTAACACACATGTCTCCTGACTCCCAGCCCTGTGCTTTAACCCTAAAGCTATTCTCATGATCATTCTCATCTAACCACTCTCCCCTCAGAGGACTGAACATCCAACTCTCAGAGGACAAATGAATCTTAAAACCCTCAAATTCTTTCTTAAAACAGCTGAATAGCATCAGATTACAACAAATGTCAACTCTTAGCAAAGTTTAACTGGCATTCTTGTCAGAAACATGGAGTTCATATTGTAGGACAGTATTCTGCCTAGCATATGTATAAACAAACCAGATCTTTAATTCTGTTTGAAATAATTTGTTATTCAGAAAAAAAATTTTCTTTGCTTACCAACAAACTGAGCTACACTTACAGAATCAGAGAATCACAGAAATGTAGGGCTGGAAGGGCCCTTGAGTGGTCAACTAGTCCAGCCCCCTGAGGTGAGGCAGGACCAAGTAAACCTAGACCAACCCTGACAGGTTTTTGTCAGACCTGTTCTGAGAAGCCTCCAATAAGGAAGATTCTACAAACTCCCTTGGAAGCCTAGCCCAGAGCTTAACTCCCCTTGTGGTTAGAAATTTTTCCTAATGTCTAACCTAAACCTCCGTGCTGCAGATTAAGCCCATTACTTCTTGTCTTACCTTCATTGAACATGAGAAACATTATCTTTGAAAACATTATCCAGATCATCCTAGCAGGCAAATGAGACATATTCTAGTTCTCTTTTATTTGGTAATAATGAAGCAGAATTAATAGCTCTTATAATGAGTTTGGAAATAATCAGACACATTTCTTAGCTGGAATGTCTGAAATGCTTAGACCTGACTACTTTTTGGTCTGAGTGAAAGTGCTCCATCAGTGCCTTTGTTATGATTTAAAAAAAAAAAAAACCACTTAAAATGATGTGAAGCAGAACAGAGGCTGAGCAACAAGTCTTACAGTCCAGTAGTTTCACAATGTAACATTATGATCAACCTGAACACACAATGTGAGTGTATCTCATGTAAAATTCTCAATTCTAAATAAAAGCTAAATCCTACACTAGCCAGTACTGCTACAGAGAAATAGGAATGCTGACAAATATGTTCTCTGCTCCATGAATTGAGCCAGCCAGGGCAGGCTGTCATGGAACCAGCCTAGGGAAAGTGTTGCTCAGGATATTTTATTACTAGTAAAAAGGAAAAGCATTTGTCTCTAGCTGTTCAGGGTGCTGACTGCAGAAGTTGTTATTCACCAAGTGCAATAACGAATTGTTCTTTGAAATGTGTCCCCCTACTGGTGCTCCACTGTAGGTGTGCTTGTTTCCCTGCACTGCTGATTGTAGAACTTCGGTAGTAGTATCTGTTAAGCCTGCATGTCCACAGTCTCTCCTTGTGCCCCGCCACAAGGCTAGCCAGCGCATGTGGGCTAACCCCCCTCAGTTCCTTCTCTACTGAAGTCATAGACAAGAATTCTGAAGTAGAGGGGAGGAGGGTGGGTTGTGAAGCACCAAGAGGGGGACACATCTCGAAGAACCATCATTACTGCACAAGACAAGTAACTTCTTCTGCGAGTAGTGTCCTTGTGGGTGCTCCACTTTAGGTGATTCCCAAGCAATATCCCAACTAGAGGGCTGGGAGGCTTTGGAGTCTGGTCAGTTAGAGATGACAGCACTGTGGAGCCGAAGATGGCATTGGAGGCAGAGTCTCTAGCAATTGCATGATGCTCTAAGAAGGTGTTGACTGATGCCAATGTCACCGCTCTACAGATTTCTGAGATGGGGACTTTCTTGAAGAAGGTGATGGATGAGGCGATGGGCCTCGTGAAGTGTGTACAAATAGTATCTGGAGGGGTCATGTTGCGAACTTGGTAACATTGTCTAATGCAGTTTGAGACTCATTTGGAGAGTCTTTGGGCTGATATTGCTGAGCCCTTGGATCTTTCAGCAACAGAGACGAAAAGTCTAGGGGACTTCCTGAAACCCTTCGTCCTAGCCAGGTAGAAGGCTAGGGCTCTCCGGACATCTAGAGTGTGTAATATAGCCTCCCTGTTGTCTCATGAGGGTTGGAAGGTGAATCAATTGGTTCATGTGGAACAGGGTGGTTACCTTGGGGATTAATTTTAGATGTGTCCTGAGTGTAACCTTGTCCCGAAAGAATACCATGTAGGGATTTGCCATCAGAGCCACTATTTCTCCTATTCTCCTGACTGCTATCAGGAAGATCATTTTCACTGAGAGGTATGTAAGAAAACAGCTGGCCATAGGTTTGAAGGGAGGCCTAGTCAGTCCTTTCAATACCAGGGCTAGGAAGTCGGGGGTGTGGTAAAAAGTTTACTGTACCCCTGAGGAATCTTTTAGTAGTTGGGTGTAATAGCACTGAGTAGCCCTCTACTTGTAGATGGAAGGTCGCTACAACTGTGAGGTAGACTCAAGGAGCTGAGAAATAGTCCTGATCTTTTTTAGAGTCAGTCAAGGATCTTCGGAAGAGCTTCGGACGTCAGGGACATTTGTTGGAAGGTACACCAAATCCAGAACCTGGGCCATTTTCGTAGGGAAGTATGGCATGTTGAGAACTTTCTACTGTGTAGTAATACCTCTTGTACCTTCTTTGAGCAGGAGTTCTCCAGATATTGGAACCATGAAGGAGTCACGCCTTGAGAAGAAAAATTCCCAGGCTGGAATGTAGAGTGTGCCCTTTGTTCTGTGAGAGGAGGTACAGAGTGGATTGGAGAGAGATCGGCACGCACTTTGTGAGCTGTGACAGGTAAAGGTACCAGGTCTGTCTTGGCCAAGTGGGAACAATCAGTACAACATGTGCGCCTCTTCATTTTATTTTTAACAGGACTTTCAACAGTAGGGGAAAGGGAGGAAAGGCATTGAGAAGGTCTCTGTTCCAAGGGAGGAGGAAAGCATCACCTAGGGAATGTTGGCCTATTCCTGCTCTGGAGCAGTAGCGTGGACATTTCTTGTTTAGGTGAATGGCGAACAGGTCTGTAGTTGGCGTCCCCCACTGACTGATTGGGCGAAGTACTGCCGAGTCTATCTCCCACTCATGGTCGTGTGGGAAATTGGGGATTGAGACTGTCCACTATCGATTTTTGTGTTCCCGGGAAGTAGGCCGCAGACAGTGTAACATCATGGGAGATGCACCAGCTCCATAGTTTCATTGCCTCTGCACAGAGGGAGGGTGACCTGGGCTCCCCCT